GAGAACCAATGGATCTTAAACATGCATAATGATAATAGAAAACTAACCTTGGCTAAAAACAAACTAAGAACATACAGACTTTTCAAACAAGATTTAAAAATTGAAAATTACCTAATTAATATGCAGAACCATGGTCTTAGAAGGTTAATTGCAAAATTCAGGACAAGCAACCATGACCTTAAAATTGAGAAAGGCAGACATAATAATGTGCGGCTGGATAAAAGAACATGTGATATGTGCAGCCAAAATATAGTTGAGGATGAGCAACATTTTGTAATGAAATGTCCAGCTTACAGTCACCATAGGGACAAATTATTCCTGACTGCACAAAATAAAATTCCAAACTTTGATAAAGAAAATAGTCAGAATAAATTCATTTTGATTATGGCAAACCATAGCACCAGCCTTAGCTGTCTTCTTAAAAAACAGCTATGGAACAAAACAGCAACAACTATCAGTGTATTAGGCCACATTTTGTGTTCATTCTATATTATGTACTATGATTCACCATTGGCTGCAAATTGTATTTTTTTGTTTTTGACTTGTTTTTTTTTTTTAGAAAAGTTTTTATTTTTTGTTTTCTTTTTTAGATTGTAGTTTTTTGTGTTTTTTTTTTAATTTCTTTCTGTAAGACCCTTTTTATCCTTTCCTAAGGATTTTATGCGTCTAATAAAAAATATCTAAATACATGCCGGCTGTCTGTGGTTTGATTGTCCAGTCTTGACAGATGTCGTAAGCAGTCAGTCTGCTATCTATCTCTGAACTCTTTTCCAAACATCCGGGTCAGTGGGACACCTAATAGTGTCATGCTATTATAAAGTATAAGATCAGTATATGAAAAAGTGAGCATGACATGTAGTCAAAGTATGTTTGCAATGGCCCAAGGCTATCACAACTGACATGGACAGTGGGACAATAGTCTGTCTAATATAAATGTGCTATGTGATACAGGAAGCTCTGCTCAACGCCCACATAGTTTAGAACTATCTACACAATACCCTGGGACATTTCTAATTAAATTTCACTTTTGTTGTGACTTTCGTCAGCTAATTTACATGCAGAACAGTTGTCTAGCCACGTACTGTCTGCTATTGTCTGGTTTTCCGTAAAACCAATTGCAATCGCTTGTGTAACAGATGTTGTAGTAGTACATATATGCTGATAATTCATACGCCAAGGTCAACGATTAAATCAACATACAAATTATCTGTTTATATATTAAGCTTTAAAGGTCGGTGGTGGTCGCGTCGCGTTCTGTTCGATATGGGACTAATGGCGAGGTGTACAACGCGCGTGAAATACATTGTTTGTTTACATAGAATTCGAATACTCGCAATGCGACGACCACCGTCCTTTAATTTAATGCACCGTACAACACGGGTTTGATGATGAAGTCCAATTCATGCATCGTTATCGGATGATTTTCCAACAAGATGAGAAGAGTCACAAGTTCATAACCACGATCCAAATCTATGCTGATCTATAATGTGTCGTACAACACTGAGATTTGTGATTCCATCTGTACTATTCAGTTAGTCTGGGGTCAAGGTGATTCACATGTAATTACCATAATACATGTTTAGACTCATGATTATGTCGTAGCTGGTGGCGCTGTGTAATACTTGCTGTTACAAGTTCGCTGTGTTCTGGGTTTTGCCAAATATATAGTTCGTTATAAAACTCGTTAACTGTTACAGTGATTTTGAGTAAACATGTCAGGGTTTGTGCCATCTTTTAGTCGTTGTATTTGCGTAAATCTAGTAGAATTATTTTCAATTTGACCACATACCTCACAAATACAGAGATAGGAAACTGCAGTATTTGTTAGACATAATATGGGTTATAATCTGTGAATTGGTCATCACAGGTTCACGCCAAATTTCGTGTTTTGGTAGGCTTGACATCGCGTAAATATGCAAAATATGGCCGCTTAAGACCTGCGCATGCGTACATGGGACGTTTTAATAATTTTAAAATGAAGTCGCGCTCGAGACATTGTCCCTTGATGATGTTTTTTTTAAAGGTCGATGTTTTCAGTTAAGTTACAAAATGCACTTTGAGTATACCACCCTTATAATAAGTCGCGTCAAAATGACGTAAGCAATATCATTAAAATAGACGACTGTGTTTGGGTTTGTATCTAAATAAAGATGAGAAGGGCACGACCAAGTGCATTCGGGTTCCATACTACGAGTAGCAACATATTTGCGCAGAATTCGAAAGTACGTGTTCGCGACGACCACCTCTCTTCAGTCAATTTCATAACATTTTCGATGCATTCTATTACTTTCATACCACGCAATAAAACAATGTCGCCGTGTATTCCATTTAGATTATAATCTTGGTCACGGCATCACTGGACGCCACATGTTGTCATTTAAGCGAAGCTTAGCGCTTAGAGTCACCGCTTCGAATGTATCGGAAATTGGCTTCTTACGTCACAAAATAGTATAATTACTGTTCTTATCTTGTCCATGATAAGGATCACAGAATGCAATCTTATGAAATGAAACGAGTACTTCTCACTCACATGGTATGTGGTCTATTTTTATCTCAACAGAGCCAAGCCGAGGTGATATGGAAATAGAAAAGCGTCCTCTAGCGGTGATGGTGTTCATTCATGATGGTTTTTATAAAGAAGGATCGGGGAATCTTTTTGATGGATCTGTATTGGCGGCTTATGGTGACGTCATCGTTGTAACTTTCAACTACAGACTTGGAATTTTGGGTAAGTATTTGATGAATGTATATGGCGTTATAAAATTACATACACATTGCAATCATTTATTTAAATCAGTACATTGCCTGAATATACCGGTACTGTCACAATATAGGCACATGTGAATGAAAACCTCTTTTTGAATTGATTTTGACTTGTCACTGTGATTTCCACCCTGAACACGCCTACAACACACAGGTATGACGCCCCATCCACACGTCTTACATGCAATGTATTCAATATTATACAGGTTTCCTTTCGACAGAAGACGAGGCCGCGCCTGGTAATTTTGGCCTAATGGATCAAATATTGGCATTACAATGGATCAAAACTAACATCCAAGAGTTTGGTGGCAATCCTACATTGATTACTGTGTTCGGTACTGGAACTGGTGGTTCATGTTCACATTTACTGATGTTGTCAAACTTGACTACAGGTATGTAATAAGAAATCATTTGACGTCACTGGAACATTTCATATACACAGGATATGACGTAATTGGGAACTTTTTATGATATAAACTAATGTTACGTCATTGCAACTTACTATGAGACTAGTATATACAGAGTGCGACGTCGTTTGACACTTTGTTTACGGGATACACCATGCGGTATCATTGAGCACTTTCTATTATATATACATGGCGTGACGTCATACAATAGAATCAATATTTAAAATCATTGCTGAACTTGAAACGAGAAGTTTATTTTTTATTTACTTTTCAACATAAATTATTCGACTGGCCATATTACAAGTGCAGATATTGACTGTAAGGGTTTGTTAGGCATATTGCCGTTTACGTATACCTTTGCTGTATTCTCTTCATAGGCTTGATACATCGTGTGATCGCCCAGAGTGGCACGGCTATTGCACCATGGGCACTGGCTAATAATCCCAGCAAACACACACATCAAGTCACCGTAGCCTTCGATTGTGAGCGTGAAACCACGAGGGAGATTGTTGAATGCCTAAGGCACGTACCACACGATGAATTGACCCGACTTCCGACGCAAATATCCAGGTATTATCCAGCTTTCGGACCAGTTGTTGACGGTTACGTCATACTGAAGGACCCCCTTGAGATACTCAAAGAAAAGGCGGAGATTGCGCAGTCAAAGGTACAAGATGATGAATTACCTGAATCGCTAAGTGGGATTCCTTTAATGACGGGACTGGTGAAAAGCGAAGCCTTTAATCTGATTGCTAACGATACAGACGATCGCGGTCGATTAGAACCATTTAGATACCGAGAAATAGTCAAGGAATTTGTAGAAAGCATATATGGAGAAGATACACTTGCAAGGTACGTTATGACGTCATCGGTCGGCGACATGCATGCAATTCAAATGAAAACAGATTTAAGCCAAAGCTACAAACTAAAATTTTATTTCAATCAGATTGTATTAAAATAATACTATAAATTGTGATAATCTTGTTTGCAGGGAATCAGGATTTCACACAGCGACATAGTACTATAGTGAAATTATCTTGTCTACAACAAATACTAGAATATACCGATAATCATTAATGCATTGGTGTCAATATGTTATACACACAGTGAGCAGGTCGCACAAGCCATGGACTTCGAATATACTGACTGGGCTGGCGGTAAAAATAATCCGTACGAACTTCGTGACGGTCTCATCGATGCTATGACGGATAATCTGTACGGATTACCAGTCACACAGACAGCGCAATTGACGTCACTATCCAAATCACCAATTTATCTCTATTCTTACGGTCATCGTTTGAAAAGTGGAGACTCTCCGCGGTGGACGGGTAGGACTTGATTATCATACGTTTTATTCCGAACTGTGTATGTACATATCGTTGTTGGGTTATAATATGCTATAATACCTCGGGGGCGGAGCTACGTCACAAGAAGTTCCACGTTGCTAAGACGCGTACCACTGTACATGCATTTATATGGGCTCTGTGCGCGCTGCTGTGGAACGCCGATCTCCCCGAGGATTAATCGCGTACCACGTCATGTGATGTTTGCTATTTCCTATCGTGACGTAAAGTACGCCCTCTACGTTGGTTACCCACGAAATCACATCGTTGAATGTGAAAGTCTTCACTTGTACATCTTCGCTAGCCAAGGCTGGTTTTATTCGTGGAGAGTAGGTGTGGCACTCTCTTGTTTGTTTTTTGGCGGTTTTTTTTCTTTCAATAAGTTAAAATGTTATGTGAGTGTATAAATGGCGAAAGTCAGGTTACCGCGAAACAAATGTTTCTGGTCAATTTGTTCTCGAAGCGCTCCGGTTACTTCTTAATTTTATTTAATTTTTTTTATTAAATTCATATTCTCCTTTTCTTCTCTGAAGAACAACTTGAAGTTTTCAATTTAATTGACGCGCGTGGTGAATAGAAACATGATTTGTATTGACCCAATATGCAGTGTCTTGTGTTTCAAGTGTCGCAAAGATTTGGGTTCCATACATCCCAACAGTAGTAAGGCGAGATTTTCACCAGGTAAATAAACGCACGTCACTTTAATGATTGCATAGTGACGTAGTGATATCCATCCAACAGGCTTTTCACTTCAATTTTAGGGGCAACTCACGGCGAAGAACTGCCTTTCTTGTGTGGAGCAGCGTTATTGTCGTCAGGAATGGGTATAATGCAGTACAATTTCAGCAAATCGGACTCGCTTATTAGTTTAGCTGTAATGACATACTGGAGCAACTTTGCTAAGAAGGGGTAGGTCATAAAGAATACACCAGACGACATTATTCATCATAAAGAGCGACATATTGAGCGTATTCCAGTCAATAATTAATTGCGAAATTCACTGAATCCATCTAACTTAGTACATCAACAGAAATATTCCTGATAATTCTTTATATAGAACACATATAGCATAGTATATATTAGTTATTTAACATAATTTTTTATTATTTTTATTGCATAGTCGTACAGTTGACTCTCTGGTGAATAATTAGATACTGTGTTTTCATCACATCAGTATCACTATAAATATGCACATTATATGTTTAATGTTTTGACGATTAGTGATAAATTTGTATATTTATTTACGCCTCGGGTGTGTCCAAAAGTGGCCCGGAATTTGCAACAAGTACTTACTGCATTTGGGTTCTAAAGTAACCAACCCCCCGCCCCCCCCCCCCAAAATGCCGTACGCAATTCAATGTTTTTAAAGCATGACCAGATGTGACCCCAAGTGAGTTTGGTTTGATTTTATAGCGAGGGTGTCGTCACCTGCGCATGCGTCGGATGGCCATAGCGTATCATTGTTCACAAACAAGCGTCTAACCATGAGCCTTTTTAGCGTGTGTTGCTATCGTTGCTTGATACTCAATTCCCGCGCGTGCGCAGGTGACGACCCTCCCGCTTTAATATTCAGACTGAATTATTACAACGCGAAGACAATCTTCGAATGACTTGAATTTTTATTCTTGTCAACAACCCTGTTTGGTACTAAATTTAAATTAAAAATGGGTCCCGCACCAGCTATTAAATTCCCCAGTAAGTATCTCCTCCTGGGTCTTATGTTAACGGCAACTTTGACATTGACTTGGGATCACTAAACTTCTTCTTTTTAACCTTTGTAGTAACCCCAACTTACCTGTTGGACAAGTAGCAGCTGATATTCATCGATCATATGAACTGAAATTCAAATTTGAAAATTTACATCAAGGCGGCGGTTGGCCTCGATTTACAGATGACCACCAGGAATTCATACATATCGGCTCCTCACCGAAGGTTCGCGACTTTTACCGATCTCATAAACTCGCATTTTGGACCGAGTATGTGTCCGGTTTAGTGGAGTCTGCGCAGAAAGCAAGTGTGACGTCACCACCTACGGAACCAATAGAAACAGAGAAACCTATCCATACAACCACAATATCTACCACAACGACATTGCCTGTTATCATTATACCTAAACTCACACCCCCATATGAGATCCCGTCTCTGGAGCCCGGGTTTACATTTAACATCACGCGAGACTCAAAAAAGGAAGATCGGGACTATACACCGGAACTTAGTATGGTAGTTGCAGCAGGATGTGCACTTTTATTTTTAAACCTTGTCGGTGCCGCCACTTTGTATTACGTCAAAGACAAGGCAGCTATGGATGCGATGAAGGCTGCGGGTCCAGGAAGAACGACAAATGTTTAGAATGTACTTACCACTTCTATGAACGGAGAGCCAATTTCTTGAAATTTGAAGGAAAACGTCCAGTCGTAAAAAAAAACTGTATGCAACCTGTAGTATGAGTAACATGTTCAAAAGCAGATCGTTATTTTATATGAATGATACGTCGGCAACGCCACCTAGTGGTTAACAATAATGATGACTTTGTTTTCAGGGATAAATTGATCAAGCAACGTAAGAAAGTCAATGAATCACTGCCATAAACTTTTCAGGTATATTCACTGGATATATGCGATACTTCTGGTTTTATTGAAGGTGTCCGTCACACGGCCACGTTTGTTTTTAATTGAAATCGAATTAGTATTCTAACCGCATTACATAGTAGTTTTTTAAAAAGCAATTTTATCAAGCAAATACCATTTTCAAAATCCAATTTATACTGAAGAGCTGACCAAAGATCGATCAGGCATAGTTTGATGGTGCTGCTATTTAGCCTATACGATACATACCATGGATATATGATATTATTTTGCTATGCAATTTACATAAATGTCGGTTTTATTAGTAACCAGTGGGCTCCAGTCACCGTGTTGGTGTCGCTTGCACGTAGGATAGTTTATTGAACCCCGGCTGCATTAACCGGGTTCGTGTACGTCGTGGGAGGGCGCCGTATCATGTGGTGGTTCACATGTTTAGCGTATATTGCGCTGTGTGATGTACTTGGCCTGTATATCCCTTTAAATGCTATATATCTTAGAAATACATTCATTTCTATGGGTATACAAGTACGTGAAATATAACGGGTATATATAGTATCATATACTGCATTAGTGTCCCACGGCGTTGCACCGCGTGACTGTGGATATCAGTCACGGTGACAACGTGACCAGTGAGTGCGTCCAGATGTGTGTAACTAGCGCTCTATTGTATCGCAAAATACGGCAGTTACTGCTGAAATGTATATACAAATTATAATATACTGTACACTCTTTACTTACTTAATGACTGCGTTTTAATTTTGTGATTTTTGATGATTAGTGAAAAACGCTAAATGAAGTCGAATATGTACAATTATAAAAGAACTCGCTGTTTTAACTTGGAATTCTGTGAATTTAAAACCATGTGAATATAATGAAATATCAAAAATTGTGAGTTATCCGTATTTGTGAATGACCTGATTTATCGTTGCCATGAAAACCTGTCAAAAACATCCAATCACGAAACATGGCGGTTAGAGTCTGCTTTTATAGATTCATGATGAATATCGCCCATCATTTTTTTTAACAACTATGGCACCTGATTTTGTGATCCGCCCCACCAGAATTATTAATAACTCATGCTTAGTCATATGTATTATACTTTGAGATATTATGCTTCAGAAACATTGCCATAGTAACGTGTAATGTAATGCAGTGACGTCATTATTACCTGACGGTTGTACGGTCGGAATGGTGTGAATGGCTTATACAAATAAGAATTGTAAATTACAAATTTTATTACAATATGTACATGTATTTATAAGATGTTTAGTCACGAGAGTAATGTTTACAATTAATTTCAGGTCTTCTTGAGTGAACTTTTAACGTCAATAAAACAAATTTTTATTTATACGAATGACCATGTATCAAAGTTGATTTGTTAATGCTTTTGCGTGTATGGTGCCACCAACGTCCATGATAAAAAAAACACACGCATGAAACACGTGCAAAATATATATGGGTCTCATATAAACAAACTTTGATTGTTGCGCAAACCAACGACTACAAACTGAAACGTTACCAAGTTTTAATTAGGTATTTTTAGAGGATCGGAAGGTATCGAAGGAGTCATCGGCGGTAATTAGCGCAAGTCGAGCCTAGCTCAAACCTGATATATAGAAGATAATATTTGGTAATCGTAGTCCTAAATAACTATTAAAAATAGCTAGACGTTTCGAGCAATGGCTCTTTATCGATAGCATAGAAGAAAATGTTAAAACGTACAGGTAGAACATAGAAACGTAAGAACGCGCATGAACTATAAATTAGAATCACACAAAATTCCATAATAGAACAAATAACGCGCCTTAGGTAGTGAGCTCAACAAATGAGTTGAACTGTTTGTTAATACCATGGGGTTCTTTAGTTCCAAGGCGGAATATAGTTTTTCCTCGACACGCCTGAGCTGATTTTCGTTGCCATTGACAACACATACACCAGAAATAGACATATCTGTAATATTATGTCCACTAGAATTAAAACGAAGTGAAACTGGATAATAACGATTTTTCTGTCTGGTTTGCCAAAGATGCTCAGCAAACCGATCACCCAATCGACGAACTATAGAACCAATATAAAGTTTCCCGCATTTAATACATGGATTGCAATATACAACATTCATGGTGATAC